AGCTTCCAATTTTAATGTCAAGTAACGAGTGGGCATAGAGTTGCAGCTGCAAATCATTTTTATTTCTAAGCCTCAGTCCTTGAAACTTTGATTGCAATTATAGGGGGAAAGAAAGATTCAAATACTTATCTATATGGGGACACCTCAGGGACAATGATGATACATCTTAAGTCCAATTGTTCCCATGCTACTTGATGTCACTTCTTCTACCATGATAATTATCATTTTCTTTGTGTATGTGTGTTTAAATCCATGGGTGATTTCACACTGGTAATCCTTTGATGTGGCTCAGTTAAAGTTGCATTTCAGTTAAACAGAATGATCAGAACAATTTTTATAGTTTACAATGTATAATTTGTTCTAGAATTTATTTTTCAAATTTGTGGAAAAATTAAACATTTTTATAAACAAGATTAAACAAGATGAAGATGAAAGAAGAAATAGAAAGTAAATACACTATACTAAGCATCTTATTTTTAAAATTTCACACAACATAATAAACTACAACAGACATGTATATACGATATGTGCACCATCTTACCGAGCAAATTCTAAACTAATATGATATGTGCACTTTATTACCAAGACAACTCTAACCTAGACAAAATAACCTCTTTTAATGATAATGTATTCCTATCTACAATGACCGAATAAGTTGTAACTGAATTTAAATACTAAAATTAAATGTTTTTACCCCATACTTAGCAATTTCTTCTTTGTTGTGTCGCTCTTTATTAAAGTGACACTAAAGGCACCCAGACCACTTGAGTTCATTGAAGTGGTCTGGGTGCATATTCCCAGGTCCCTTAAAGGACCACTATAGTGCCAGGAAAACATACTTGTTTTCCTGGCACTATAGTGCCCTGAGGGTGCCCCCACCCTCTCATAGGAAAGCATTCATAGGAAAGCTTTACTATGGACGCTTGCGTCTTCTCACTGTGATTTTCACAGTGAGAAGCACGCAAACGCCTCTAGCGGCTGTCAATGAGACAGCCACTAGAGGCTTTAGAGGCTGGATTAACCTATTTATAAACATAGCAGTTTCTCTGAAACTACTATGTTTATAAAAAAATGGGTTAACCCTAGCTGGACCAGGCACCCAGAGCACTTCATTAAGCTGAAGTGGTCTGGGTGCCTATAGTGGTCCTTTAACCCTGCAGTAGTAATTATTGCAGTTATTGAGAAACTGCAATAATTACTATCCAGGGTTAGCTCCACCTCTAGTGACTGTCTTCCAGACAGCCACTCGAGAGACTTCTAGATCGTTTGGCGACTTTTGGTCACCTAACTGTCTCTGGACGTCCTCATACTATGCATGGGGATGTCCAGCATCACCTGAAACCCCATAGTAAAGCATTGTATAATTATTTCCTATGGGGGCATGTCTAATGCGAGCACAGATGTTGGAGGAGGAGGAGCGAAGGTGGAACGCAGAGGGACATCGGACTCAGGTAAGTGACAGAAGGGATTTTTATCTCACTATAGGGAGATAAAGGGGCAAGAAACAAGAAAAACAACTTTGTTTTCCTGGCACTATAGTTTCCTTTTAATTCAGATTTCTATTAGGAAAAAAAACAACATTAGCTGCACTCCTCTAAGCTTAAGATACTTACCGACTGTCATATCATATATAATAAGCAAACCAATACAAACTTTTGTTTTGCATTTGAAGTCTTGAAGTTATTGATGGCTGATCATATTAACCCCTTTAGGAACAATGCTGCCACAAATCTGCTATTACAATATAGTCTGTAAGGATTTTTATAAATAAGTCTGTAATAATTCTTATAAATCAGAAGCAATGTTGCATATATTTTATGATTCAAGTTAGCAGGACATTAGAGACTGGTACAGAGTTTTTAACAATAGCATGACATATAATTGATCCCTCAAGTGGTTAATTGGATTATTTAATTAAGAAGTATGTAAAATTGTTTTAGAATAATATATTTGAAGCCTAGTTGCTTTTTAAATCACTTGAACTCTGTTTGTGCTTTTTGAAAGTTCAAATTATAGTTTTAGCATTTTGCAAAATAAATGTCACCACTTAGAACCCTCCTAATGTTTTAAAAGCATAGACTTGAAATGCCACAGTAGGTTTCCTTATCAACATGTTGCATTATGCTTTCTTTTATCTTCAAGCAACCAAAAAATTGAGAGAGTGGAGGAATAGAAAAAGACTACTCTAAGACACATTAGAATGTGATCAATACTCAAATCAATATCCTAACACTTAATTTGGATGCCTTCCAGCTATGGAGATTTACAAATAGCTATATTTTACTTAAACAAGCAGCCCCTGGTTAACCTTTGCCGTGGAAACATTTGCAAGCAAACACATTCACATTAAGTCGTACAGATAATAAATATGAAACTTTTTTTACATCAGAATAATAGAAGATTTTTTTGAGTGAGGTTCACTAAAACGGATACTGTGAAGGATGTTCCCCTTAAACCTGTGAAGGGTTTGACTTTGTTGACAATGACTCGACAATGACTCTGTATGCTCTGTTTCCATAGGATGTCCTTGTCATTAGTAGTTTTGAATCATTGATTTTATTATTTAGTTCTATATAGAACAATAACTCAATATGCATTTCAGTAGGTTGTGCAATCGGTGTTTGCTTGTTTTTAATATGAAACTAGAATATGATATTTTATTAACTGTATCGTGGCACAACTCCTACCCCATTGGATGTATATCATGTGTACTGTGTGCACCATAGATAGTTTAATGAAAATTTAGCTTGCTGAAGTGCTTTATGTGCATACCTCCCAACACTGGTATTCCACACTGGTGGGAGGGGATAATGGGGATGGGTAAGTGACACAATTGTGACACTGGAAAAAAGGGGGCAGGTCCATCCCAGTTATCGGCATGAACGCATGCCAGACTGTCTGCCAATTAAGCAGGCCAGCCCACTGAAGGCAGGACTTGCAGGGAGCTCTGTTTCTGTGATCTCTGCAGCACCCTAGTGCCCTTAATGCAGCTCAAGCTGATCATGAGATGTTAAAATACAGAAGACATTTTGGGGATACCAAGGAACATAGTCAGGAAGGTGGCACAGTTCACAAAAATCAGGACAATCCCAACAAAATCAGACTGCTTGAGAGGCACATATGTGTGAAGAGTGTGTCTTTTTTAATTCTCAAAAAGTGCAGATATCAATAGAATTTTACACTTTTATAAATTAACCCCTTAGTGACCCAACCGCTTTTCAATTTTCTTTCCGTTTGGGACCAGGGCTGTTTTTACATTTCTGCGGTGTTTGAGTTTAACTGTAATTTTCCTCTTACTCATTTACTCTACCCACTCATATTATATACTGTTTATCTCACCATTAAATGGTCTTTCTAACAATACCATTATTTTCATCATACCATATAATTTACTATAAAAAATATTAAAATATAATGAAAACATGTAAAAAAAAAAAACACTTTTTCTAACTTGGAACCCCAAAATCTGTTACGCATCTACAACCGCCAAAAAACACCCATGCTAAATAGTTTCTAAATTTTGTCCTGAGTTCAGGTAGCACTTTGCTATTTCCAAACAATTGCTTTTCAAATTTAAGTTACATTGTAACACTGATATCTGTCAGGAATCCCTGAATACCCTTCACATGTATATATTTTTTTTTAAAAGAAGACAACCTAAGGTATTAAACTTGGGGTATTTTGACTCTTTTCATGCAACCATTTTACAACCAATCTATGCTAAATAAAAAAAAAAATAATAATTGGTGATATTTTTTGACACATGTAGCAATTTAAGAATACATGCACTGACAACTTTAAGGGTTACTGCCAAAGAACGTCCCAATATGTGTTCAGCAACATCTCCTGTATAATGATACCACCCATGTATAGGTGTGTTTTCCAGTTTTCCAGCTTGGAATTTTCACAGCTGGTCATCAGGCACCCATGTCCTATTTGGGACATTTTGAAGTCGGCCAATGTAGTTTAGCTCATCAAACCATATATTTTTGAAAAGTAGACAACCCAGGGTAATCAATATGGTTTGTGTCCAGTCTATTTTAGTAGCCACATAGTCACAAACACTAGCGAAAGTTAGCATTTATATTTGTTTGTGTCAAAATGCAAAAAACTATTATAAATGCAAAATTTGGCCAGTGTTTATGACTAAGTGGTTACTAAAAAATACTAAACATACCCCATTTGCAATAGCGTGGGTTGTCTTCTTTTGCAAATGTTATTCCACTGTGGGTGTAATTTTCATTCCTGGGCTCAAGGGCAACATAACCAATCTGGCAAATTTCAATCTGAAAAACACTGCCTTATATTTGACCCTGTAACTTTCAAAACCACTATAAAACCTGTACATGGGTGGTACTGTTATACTCGGGAGACTTTGCTGAACACAAATATTAGTGTATTAGTAAAACGTATCACAACAATGATCCTCAGTGAAAGTGCCATTTGTGTGTGAAAAATGCAAAAAACTTTACTTTCACTGACAATATCATTGCTGTGATATGTTTTACTGTTTTGCAACACTAATATTTGTGTTGAGTGAAGTCTCCCAAATAAAACAGTACCCCATGTACAGGTTTTAGGGTGTCAAGGAAAGTTACAGGGTTAAATACAGTGCAATCAAATTAAATTCTCTGGACTTTTGGCCTGGGTTGTCAGGCAGGTCCCTGAAATTGCAAACAATAAAATTACTTAATTATATAAAAATATTACATATATATGCACGTAGAATTTAAATATGTATACATATTTATATATTTGAAGTCTACATATATATTTATGAAATTATTTATATAGTTATGCATATGGACATATGTATATTTTGCATTATTTTTATTTATTTATATATATATAAACAAGTCCATATGCCTTCACTCCTGTAAAAAAAATAATTATTGTGCCCAGTGCTTGTCTGCCAAAAATACAAAAGTAGAAAAATTATAGCACTCCAAGGACTAATATAGAATAAAAAATAAAACTTAACTTTTATTCAGGTTGATAGCTGGTAAAAAAATGTTGACATTTCAGTTCAGAATTCTGAACTTTCTTCAGGACGTCCTGAAGAAAGTTCAAAATTCTGAACTGAAATGTCAACATTTGGGTAAGCACATGGGAGAGGGAGAGGGAGAGGGAGGGAGAGGGAGGGAAGGGAGGGTTAATTGAAAAACAAAGTTATGTATCTATTTTTTTTTTATTCTTTATTGAGTGCCTCGCCCCCTTTGAGGCACTCAGCACAGGCAGAGCATCGGAAGCCTGCCTGATGGCTTCCGATGCTCTGCCTCACTGCCGGGCTCCACGTGGAGCAACCAGGAAGTTATCGCTCCAGAGGGAGCAATCACTCAGGAGCCTGGCAGTCAGGGGGGTATTGCACGATGGCTCTTCAATACTGCAATATTGCATGATCGCTTCCAGTGCTCTAATTAGCCGCAGACGTATCAGGTACGTCCGCGGTCCCTAAGGACCGTGTTTTGTTGGAGGTACCTGACACATCCTTGGTCCACCTCCCTGGCTCTCAATCAGATTACAGGTCCTGTTACTTCTAAGTGAAGCTAAACTCAAAAGGCAGCAATTGCTCAGAGCACCTGCCTTGCAAAGACTTCTCATAGAACTGAATTGTGAAGTCTGTGATTGGACAGCCACAGAAATTCTGGATGAGGTTAAAAGGGGAGGGATGCTAAGGCTGCAGACAAGAGATCTGCAGCTTTTGCAAGTTTGTTTGGATACTCCAATGAAAATAATGCATAATAACATGCATGCATGATTTAATTGGGGTAACTAATAAATAGTGATTTATATTACTATATATATAGTTTTTTCCTTTATAATTAAAGGGAATTCCACTTCCAATATATATACTTCCCAAATAAAAAAAATAAAATATATATATATATATATATATATATATATTTTATTTTTTTTATTTGGGAAGTAGAATTCCCTTAAAGTATAAAGGAAAAAGCTATTACTCATTGTAAGGCATCATTGCATGCTTCATCCTCATTCATTATAAGTTTATGTTATAAGTTTATACTGCACCTAGAAATACATAACTGCTGTAAGTTGGATATCCATGTCTGTGGGAGGTTCTTGTTTGATTTGGCCACCCTTTATAATATATTACTCATATCAAAAGCCTATATGATGAACCATCAGTGAGAATATTAACAATTATTTAATACAAAACAGCACTAGGCGGGGTTGTCCCCTCTCCCCCTATTATACGCCTTGAACATAGAACCATTAGCCTGTGAAATCATGGAAAATTGTAGCATATCAATGAAATAATCTGTTGTGATGTAGACTATAAAATTAGCCTGTTTACAGATGGTGTGCTATTGACAATCACATAATCAAGAATATGCTTGCTTATACAAACCAATCCAAGATTTTGGCAAAACATGTGAGCATTTGAACATTTCGCTGGTGAGGTTGAATTTTCTCCAGATGCTTTTAGTTTCAAAAACAATCTGCAGGACATGAATTATTTACAAGTAAAAATGACTCCTCTTTGCCACAACATCTATGGTGCCAATTATCCACCTCTATTTCGAAATGTATTTTCTCGATGGACTCCATACAGTATTACCTTAATTGGTCATGTATACTCATTGAAAGTCCTTATACTTGTTTAGGGCTCTCCCAATCCAAATACCTGATGAGGCTTTTTTAAAGTTTAAGAAGAACATGTTTAAAGGAACACTATAGTTTTAAAAATACAAATGTGTATTTCTAATGCTGTCGTGCTCTGTTGGCTGATTAGATCCCTGCCCCACCCTCATTGAGAGAAAAAAATAAATTTTACTTACCCTTTCTCCTTCACAGCTCCATGCTGCCATCCTACCACCTTGGCCAATCTCAGGCAATTCAATGGCAAAACACGTAAAAACACTGTGTTGTGTCCACAGCTGGCCTTAGCGATGTGTGAGCTGTGCAGCCACACAGGGCACTATGGCAGCAAAGGTTTCAGGTGGTAGACAAACACACACTCAGGGGCAGACAGTGCAGAGCTTCTAAAGCTGACTGCAAGTTAAGAGGCAGAGCTATATCGGCAGTAGGGGTGGAGCTATTTAAGAAATCGGGGTGTGACTAAATATGGCATCTACCCACTACCCAGTTACTGCTGCCCACTAAGGGGAAGCAGGAAGGAGTCCCTGCTCCCCTAAAAACTACACACCAGGGACTTGAGGTCCCCTGCTCCCCTCTCCAACTCATACTGTCTGTAAGTGCGAGAGTGTGTGTGTGTGTGTGTGTGTGTGTGTGTGTGCCTGTAACTATGTGTGACTGTCTGCTGGTAACTGTGTGTGTTACTGCCTGTAATTGTCTGCCTGCTGCCTGTGACTGTGTGTGTAACTGTCTGTTACTGTCTGCTTGTAACTGTGTGTAACTGTCTGCCTGTAACTGTGTGTGTGTGTGTGTGACTTTCTGCCTGTAACTGTATGTGTGTGATTGTCTGCCTGTAACCAAGTGTGTATATGACTGTCTGCCTGTAACTATGTAAGGCTGCCTGTAAGTGTTTGCGTGTGATTATCTGCCTGTAATTGTGTGTGAGACTGTATGCAAGTGACCGTGCACCTTGGACTGTGTGCATTTGGCTGTTTTTGACAGTATATTAGTATAACTGTGTGCATTTGACTGTGTGTCTGACTGTGTGACTTTATGCATATGACACTGTAGAATTACACATGAGCATACATGCACTTTATTTTTTTAATCTTAATGAAATAACCATCACAAATATCACACACATATATCGCACACAGTCAATACACCATTAACAAATATCACACACAGAGGTACAGACCAGATTCCCAGCACACTGGACCATGAGAGATTTTAACAAACATTACACCCCTATACACACACTATATGTGACCAGGGTGGAACGCTGTGAAGATTTTTCACACAGGAAACCTAAGTGCCTAAAACTGGCCCTTATTGCGCCAATCAGATAATAAAACAACTGATTTTGTATCCAAAAAGCTTCTAGCACTCTGAGTGACAGCCACAATAGGTGTTTAAACTCTAAATGAAAAACATTGACATTCTGCAGAATGGCAATTTAACTATTTACAGGGTAAATAGGAGGTGGAGGGGGGTCATGGCACCCAAACCACTTTCGTGAGATGAAGTGGTCTGTGTGCTTGTAGTTTCTCCTTAGGTTTGTGTGGGCAGGCAAGAGAGCATGACTATCTGCAACAATAGCCCTTTTCTCCAGATTAACAGGAAGGTTGGGAGCAAGCATCCTGACATTATTAAATTAATATTAATAAATTAAATTAAATTAGTTACACTTACATAATTGGGTTCCATTGAATTTGCAGACAGATGCCCATATAATTAAGCAATACATGTTTAGACTATAAAATGCACATTACATGATTATTTTATAAATATGTATCTATTAACAATGGGTAGGTATAATTGTAATAAAAATATATTGTGCTAATAAAACCATTAAAACGAACACTCTGGACACCAAAGCAACTTCATCACAGTGAAATTATTATTGACGTTCTTTTAGTCCCAATTTACAGGAATGGAGGAATTGGTTTTAGAATTCTTCTGGATTTTATACATATTCCACAGCCCACAACGTGTTTGTTTTCTTTATTTTATATTCTGCAAATTGGAGTGAATTAGCTGAATGCCATGGCCTATGTTAATAATAATAATACAAATAATAATAACAATAGCAATATAACTTGCAGCTTTTAGGAGCTTATAACATAAATTGTACCAATTAACATGAAATAAACATTTTATACTGTTGAAGGTCATGGTACCCAATGCCAATTTCACATTATTATTTTATATATAATTCTTCACCACAGCACTTGTGTATGCATGATTCTCATGGTATGCACCCATGTCCCAAAATTGCACATACATTTTTAATAATGTAAATGAAATCCATTTTTTGCAAACAAATTTTTAGCATAAACACAAGCAGCCTTCCACCATACATACGCTCACAGACACGGATATACACTCCAGACACAGTCACAAATACACATACACATTGATATACACTCACATACACGCAAACAGGAATCTTCACTGCCAGACACGGAGTAACAGGCATATACACTAATACAAAAAGTAAAAAACTTTTTTAACTTTTTTTATTTTTATAATTTTTTTGAGTCTTCCTTTTTTTCCTATTTACCCTTCTTTTTTTGGATGGCACTTTTTGGACTATCAGATACAGCAATATAGTATAATACTTCTTGATGATTCATCAGTTTGTGGTCAGGGATTTTTACCTACATGGAGTTATATTAGTAGACTCATAATGCACTGTTTCTACTAAACCATATTGTTTGATTTAAGTGTGTATATATGGGCCCGCCCATTAGACCCTGGACCAGCAGATAAGAAGATATAGCCCGGTACCTCCAGGACAAGTGTGGGACTTCTCTTGCATACAATCTGGGAGAAAGAAAAAAGATTTACTACAACTACAGGGATTTACTATTACACCACAATTTATATATCAAGAAATATGGATAACTTGAAAACAGGACCTATCTTTCTATAGAAAGCGGTGAGATCCACCCATATATTGTAGTGTGTACACACTGGGACTGTATATACTTATGTTTCCCTTTTTGCATTTTTTCATTATTTTTTTTAGTTTTTTACTTTTTTATTTTTATAAAAATTTTTGAGTCTTCCTTTTTTCCTATTTACCCTTCTTTTTTTGATGGTACTTTTTGGACTATCAGATACAGCAATATAGTATAATACTTCCTGATGATTTATCAATTTGTGGTCAGGGATTTTTAGCTACATGGAGTCATAATGCACTGTTTCTACTAAACCATATTGTTTGATTTAAGCATGTATATATTATCAATTTTTCTGACTTTAGAGCATATATTAACCAATGAATTATATCTATCTAAGATAATGATTTATTCAATGATTTATTAAATTTAGTAATGAACTCTATTAAAAATACCCAAAGAAAGGAAATAGTGGAGGGAATCCCTTAATACAATAATGCATAGTGTAAAATGTAAAATTTATTTATATACTTGTACAGTAAAAGGAATGATATTGACCCTACAGGAACACTTAAACAGCTCCAATTGCCTGACTTCCTTTCT